CCCCCGCGGGGGGGGGCCCCCCCCCCCCCCCCCCCCCATGACCTTGGGGGGGTGTTGGGGTCCCCCGGGTGCCTGCCCCTCCCCCACCCTTTGTTCCCAGCTGCCCCACCCCCATGGGCAGATTTTGAGGAGGGAAATTGAAAATTTGGAGATGTATCTTTTTTGGAGGGAAGGAGTCGGTATTTTTTGGGGGGGAAAGGTAAATTTGGGGTGTTTCTGAAATTAAACGTTTTTGGAAGCACCTCCGCATTTCAAACGCTGTTTCCGGTTCCCGCCTGCCCGTTTTTTGGGGGGGTTAACGCCCATGTTTGGCCACGCCCCTGCGGGTGGTGAGGATCTGCCCCTTTGGAGGCGGGCCCCACCCCTTGAAAACAGACCCCGCCCTCTGAGCTTGGCTCCTCCCCCTTGCACAGGTCCCACCCCCAGGGTTGGTCTTCCTCTAGGAGTGGCCTCCTCCAGTGAGGCCGCACCCCCTTTTGCAGTCCCCACCCCCTGGGCTGCCTCCTCCAATAAGATTCCACGCCCTCTCAAGGCTCAGCCCCCAGCGTTGGTTCTTCCACTGAGGCTTCCCCTCCTCCTACCGGCTCCACCCCTTTAGGCACACTCCTAGATCAAGCTCCACCCTCTATGTAGACTCCTCCCACCCCAAGACTGGCCCCACCCACCCTGAAGCCCCAGGGGAGGACCCAGACCTCCCACCCTCCCCGCCTGAAGGGACCCAGGCATCGGCAGGGGTGGGGGCGGGGCCTTTTTGACCCCGCCCTTTGTCCCCAGTTCTGGGAGGTGATCAGCGACGAACACGGCATCGACCCCACTGGCACTTACCATGGTGACAGCGACCTCCAGCTCGACCGCATCAGCGTCTACTACAACGAGGCCACCGGTACGGTGTCGCCCTGCCCCCGTCACCCCCCGCCGGTGTCACCTCTCTGTCCCCATATCCCACGCCCCACCCCCTCATCCCTCTCTGTCTGAGACCTGATGTGCTCAGCTCACCCATTCCCCACCCCCACCCTCCTTCCACCTCCTTGGGTTTTGGGGTGGTTTCTGGGGGTTTTGGGGGTGGAGGGGTGACGCGGGGTTGTCACCATCACCCCCCTCGGTGACACGGTGGTGTTCCCAGGGGGTAAGTACGTGCCAAGGGCCATCTTGGTGGACCTGGAGCCAGGCACCATGGACTCAGTGCGCTCGGGACCCTTCGGGCAGATCTTCCGGCCGGACAACTTTGTTTTCGGTGAGTCCCCGTGTTGCCCTGTGTCCCATGGGGTCCCCCTTGTCCCCCTGCCATGTCCTCCTAGGTGACTTTGGGGTGCCCATTGTTGCAGGGTGGCAGTTTCCTTCATTTGGTGGCTATGAAGCTTCCAGTGGTGGCCACCTTTGGGTGATGATCACCATGGGATGGAGTGGTGGGTCCCCACCGTGGTGGCCCATGGGTGCCCTTCCCAGTGGAATGACACATCCCTCCTTGGTGGCCTTCATGTGCTTGTCACAGTGGGGTGGCAGGTCCTTATTGTCCCCTTCTTGGTGGCCAGTGTCTATCCGTATGTCCCCAGAGCTCTACTGGGAGGGTTATTGGCGTCCCCAAATCAGGGAAATGAGGGTCCCTTAGGAGATGGGCATGTCGCAGGAGCTCTGGGTGCCCATGGGTGGCATGGCAATACCCAAGGAGGATGGTGGAGGTCCATGAGGAGCTCAAGGTACCCCAGGGTGGTCTGGAGGTCCCCAAGAAAGATACTAAGAGGTCCCCAAGGAGCTTAGGGTTTCTAAGGGCCAGCTGGAGGTCCCCAAGAAGAGTGATGGTCGTCCCCAAGGACCTCAAGTGTGGACTGGAGGTCCCCAGGGGTTGGAGAGAGGTCCCTGAGGTGCTCAGGGTGCCCAAGGTTGGCATGGAGATGAAGGAAGAGTGATGGAGGTCCCCAAGGTCTTCAGGAATGGGCTGGGGATCTCAAAGGAGGATGATAGAGGTCCCCACGGTTCTCGGGGTTCCCAAGGGTCTGGTAGACACACCCAACAAGGGTGATGGAGGTGCTCAAGGCTCTTGAGGGTGGGATGGAGGTCCCCAAGGAGCTCAAGGGTGAGCTGGAGATAGGCAAGAGCAATGAAGGTCCCCGAGGCCCTTAGTGTCCCCACGGATTTGCTAGACATCTTCAGAGACAGCGATGATTGTCCCCAAGGAGCATGAAGTCCCCATGCGCGGGCTGGAGGTCCCCAAGGAGGGTGATGGAGGTCCTCAAGGGTGGGCTGGAAGTCACCATGGAGGGTAATGGACGTCCCCAAGGAGTGCAGGGTCCCCAGGGGTTGGATGGACATCCCCAGGGAGGTCCACAAGGGTGGGATCCAGGTCCCCAAGGTGATGAAGGTTGGCTTGAAGGTCCCCAAAGGTGGGATGGAGAGCCCCAAAGTCCTCAAGGTTGGCCCAAAGGCCTACAAACTGAGCAACCAAAGTCCCCAAAGACCTTGGTTTCTCTCTGGGAGCTCCTCCATGATGTCCCCACCATGTCCCCACCCCAGGCCAGAGTGGCGCAGGCAACAACTGGGCCAAGGGTCACTACACGGAAGGGGCCGAACTGGTGGACTCGGTCCTGGACGTGGTGAGGAAGGAAGCGGAGAGCTGCGACTGCCTGCAGGGCTTCCAGCTGACCCATTCGCTGGGTGGTGGCACCGGCTCCGGCATGGGGACCCTCCTGATCTCCAAAATCCGTGAGGAATACCCCGATCGCATCATGAACACCTTCAGCGTCGTCCCATCCCCCAAGGTGTCAGACACGGTGGTGGAACCCTACAACGCCACCCTGTCTGTCCACCAGCTGGTGGAGAACACGGATGAGACCTACTGCATCGACAACGAAGCCCTGTATGACATCTGCTTCCGCACCCTGAAGCTGACCACTCCCACCTACGGTGACCTCAACCACCTCGTTTCGGCCACCATGAGCGGTGTCACCACCTGCCTCCGTTTCCCCGGTCAACTCAATGCTGATCTCCGCAAGTTGGCCGTCAACATGGTGCCCTTCCCGCGTCTCCACTTCTTCATGCCCGGCTTCGCCCCTTTGACGTCGCGCGGCAGCCAGCAGTACCGCGCCCTCACCGTCCCCGAGCTCACCCAGCAGGTCTTCGACGCCAAAAACATGATGGCCGCCTGCGATCCCCGTCACGGCCGTTACCTCACGGTGGCCGCCGTCTTCCGAGGTCGCATGTCCATGAAGGAGGTGGACGAGCAGATGCTCAACGTTCAGAACAAGAACAGCTCTTACTTCGTCGAGTGGATCCCCAACAACGTGAAGACGGCCGTCTGTGACATACCTCCGCGTGGTCTCAAGATGGCTGTCACCTTCATCGGCAACAGCACGGCCATCCAGGAGCTCTTCAAGCGTATCTCGGAGCAGTTCACGGCCATGTTCCGGCGCAAGGCCTTCCTCCACTGGTACACGGGCGAGGGGATGGACGAGATGGAGTTCACCGAAGCAGAGAGCAACATGAACGACCTTGTCTCGGAGTACCAGCAGTACCAGGATGCCACCGCTGAGGAGGAGGAGGATTTCGGTGAAGAGGCCGAAGAGGAGGCCTGAGGGCTGGTCGTCCTAGGAGAGCCCCTCGGCCTTTGCTGTCATTGTCATCCTCGGAGAGCCCTCGTCCTTCAGCATTGTCCTTGGAGAGCCCTTGTCCTTCAGCATTGTCCTTGGAGAGCCCTTGTCCTTCACCGTTGTCCTTGGAGAGTCCTTGTCCTTCATCATCGTCCTCAGCCTTCATCAGTGTCCTCGGGGAGCCTTTCATCTTCATCATTGTCCTCTGCCTTTGTCGGTGGCCTCGGAGAGCCCTTGGTCTTCCCTGTTGCCACTGGAAAGCACTTGGCCATCGTCATCATCGTTGGAGAGCCCTTGGCCTTCGTCACCGTCTTCAGAGAGCCGTTGTCCTTCACTGTGGTCCTTGGAGAGCTCTTGGCCTTTGTCATCGTCCTCAGAGAGCTGTTGTCCTTTGCCGTTGTCAACAGAAAGCCCTCATCTTTTGTGATTGTCACCGAAAAGCTCTTGGCCTTCATCATGGTTGTCATCAAAGCCCTCGGGCTTTGCCATTGTCACTGGAGAGCCCTTGGCCTTTGTCATCGTCATCCTCAGAGAGCCCTCAGCCTTTGTCATCGTCCTTGGAGAGCCCTTGGTCTTCACCGACATCATCGTCACCAGAGAGTCCCAGTCCTTCATCATGGTCACTGGAGTCCTTCGTCATCGTCACCAGAGAGTGCCAGTCCTCCATCATGGTCACTGAAGAGCCCTTGTCCTTTGCCATCCTCATTGTCACTAGAGAGTCCTTGTCCTCACACAACCCCCATCCTTCATCATTGTCACCGGAGCATCCCTGTCCTTCACCACCATCTTTGTTCCCATCCCCTCTCCGTTGTCACCATCACCAGAAGGCCCCTGTCATTGCAGAACCACCCTCCCCTCCGGGTCACCCTCCACGTCCCCCACTGCCGGGGTGACATCGCCACTAAATTATTGCAGCCCCCAGGCACCCAATTCGCTGCTTTTTCCACCCAAACGCACCGCTCCAGCTGCAGGGGGCTCTTGGGTGGCCCTGTCACCCATGTCCCCGGCCGGGGGCTCTCCTGTCCCCTCCCCCCCAACTCCATAATATTTTGGTTCATTTTTTCCCTTTTTAAGCTTTTTTTTTTTAATTTTCCTTTTTTTTTTTTTTTCATATTGAAAAGCCGCCCCCGGGCGAGGAATAAACCCGGGATGTAAAGCCACCACCGTGTCCCTTGTCCCCTTCCTGTTCCCATGTCCCTTGGGGGGGGGGCCTTCAGGTCCACGTAGTGGGTCCCATGTGGATCCCCACATCATTGGGGTCTCCTCCAGGTCCCCGGGGGGGGGTGGTGGGGGTGGTCTGTG